TGTCTGCAAAAGGCACCTCTCAGCCACAAAGACATTTACAAAATATGCCATGATATATACAACTATAATACCAAAGATAAAATACACTATTCATCTTCAAACTTCTTTAATTTAAAATATTCAGCTCTCATTTACGTTTTGCAGAGATGAGTTATTGTTCGTAAATGCCATTTATGCTCTTTATGTTTTTATGTTCAGATGAAAAATAAGTATTCAGTGTAACTTTTTCACATTACAATTACTGGGATTTTACTAGATCCTGTTTTGAGTGGTGAATATTTTATAGGTTAACTGAAGTCAGTGAAGCAACTGGAGTGAATACAAGTAACCTCCTTGATGGATGGTAATTGTTAAAGGGATGACTTTTACTGAGAACTGAAAACACAATATATCCCATCGACTTCATGAAGATGACATTCAGCTTTACTGCTCCTCCAAAAATGTCCGTTTTCAAAAACAATTGAAGGCTTTCTCATTCAAAAAAGCCTCAACAGCTTTTAAAATATTTGCCTTTGTATTATTTGAATCATTTAATTACATATATTTTAATGTAATTGTGTTTGTAATGAATTGTCTAACTGTAAATTGTATTATTTACCTACTTATGTTTCGAGTGTCTCTGCTGTTTTTCTCATTGAGAAAAGGTTTCGTCTTTGTACACCTCCCATGAAAGTTAAGCGTGTCCAGTCCCTTTATGAATGAACAAACATGTACTCTGATACAAACACTAATAAGAGCTAAACCAGTGACGACATCTGAGGGTTTTTGGAGACTTATTTTAGCATCTTGCGGTCTGCTTTGGAGTGACCTTGCTTGAATGTCCAGACCTTGGCTGGGAATGTCTCATTTATGGTCATATTCAATACAAATGAGCACATTTAATTCAGTAAATCAATTCACTGAGTGAAACACTTTACAGAGATAAATTACACATACACTGGCTGTTTAAGTCTTTGTGTTAATTATGATATTTTTCTACTTGCATTTAATGAAAACATGCCAGATTTGAATATTACACCAGAACAGTAAATATATATAGAAATGCGGCATTGATGAAAGGGATGTTTTATGTATGCTTAAAGGTCATCATTTTCATATTAATGAATTACAAATCTGCACCATATAGAGAGTTATTTCAAGTCATTTTGTGACCTCTTTCGATCCCTTCCTAGTCTCAAAACGCTGCTTTCTGAAGGCCTTAGACGACGTTTTGGATCTCACTGTGGAGTTTACTCTACTTCCACCAGTGTGGAGCGCAGCAAACTAAACATCTGAGGTTTAAACAGGGCAAACCTCCAGAAAAATGCTGACTAGCGATGTTCACATGTGCACCTGATGTCATTTCTCTTTGTGTAATTTTAGCCATTTATGTGGGAATAAACGTGGAGGTGTTCGCATTTGTTCGTCGCCGAAAATGACCAGCTTCTTGCATTTAAAAAAAATAAATCTGATTTTGTGTTTTATATTGCTTGATTTGATCACTGTAAACCCATGGTTGTAGCGTGGCAAAAAAAATAACAAAAAAAGGGCTGCGAAAACTTTTCAAAGGCACAACCCGTGGCCCCGATCTTTCATCCCCACTGTGTACAACCAGTATGCGCCGTGCTCAGCCAAATAAATGCATATGCTTAATCTCTCTTCACTTTCAGCAGACAGGAAAATTACATGCTGTTCCACTCGCAGCTTGACTTCATTGCGGCTGCAGTGGAAGCGACAGTTAGCCTATTTACTTTTATTCTGGACTTGTGCTAATTATCTTAACTACACAAGTAATTATCTTCCACATCAAAGGGCTTCGCTCCGAGCCCTGCTGATCCCCTCCCTCCGTCTCTCACTCCCAAACAACCGGCCTGCCTGGCCCCCCGACACACGCCGTCGCCATCATCACATTTCCCGAGCCAGCTGAATCATGATATTAGTGGATAATTAGCCGATCGCCTGACTGGGTTTGATTGGGGAGGGGAGGAGGCAACATGTGATGAAGCGAACCGTCTGGCAACGGAGCTGCCAAATTTTGAGAGATCACGGAACCGAGACTGAAGAGAGATCTCGCATGTTTTTACCTGCACGGATCATCTGGAAATAAATGACATCTGCAGGGATTGTTGTTTGTTTTTCGCTATTTGGTCGTAGCTGTGTAGATCAATGAGTTTGGTTTTTTTTAACTGAAGCCTTAAAGGAATGAATGTATGGTACAAAAAAAAGAGAAATAGGAATGTAGAGCTCATATTTGTGTGCGTTTGATTTTTACTCACATTATCTGCCTTGTCTGTCAATACCTCTGGGCTACAGACAATAATCAGGTCATCTGGCGCCAGGCACAGATCCTTCATTAACAGTATAACTGTAATCTCTGCAGAAAACATGCGACTGCTGGGGGAAAATTTAAATGAAGAGTATTTAAATTCCTTTGAAGTTGTTTGTTTTGCTCACCTTGGAAACACGCTATTTCTACTTCTCTTCTGCGGTGCGGAGTAAACGCACCCCATAAATATTTATCCACCTTGAGCCCGTGCTATTCTGGCCCGGTGTTTTCGACATGGCCACTGGAGATTGGGCCTATCAGGACCCGCCGACGAGAGAGGGGAGAAAGAAGAGAGGAAGAACAAAACAAAAAGAAGGGAAAAAAAAGAGCAAAAGAAGAAAGCTTGAAGGAGAGAAGTGGTGCTGGAGAATATTTTTGTGCAGGTCCCAAAATGGAAAGTGGAGGGTTTGTGAAATGTTTAATGCAGAAGAATGGTTGCACGGTTCAGAGTCTGTTTCCTTTACAAGTCACCTCACACGCTCATGAAACTTCACTCATACAAGTCTAGGCGCTGCATTTCTTTGTGTGTGTGTGTGTGTGTGTGTGTGTGTGTCTGTGTGAGTTTTGGTGCTCAGAGGAAGCTCTTTGAAGCTTCAGACTCCAAGGGAAAAAGACCTGGTGATTCAGTCCAAATAAACCTTCCAAATGTATGAACACCTCCATAAAATTTTCTAATTTTTTCTTTGATTGTTGGCATTTTATGTACTAGAGCATCACAAAGTAGTGTGCAGTTGTGAAGTGGGAGGAACAATCAGACGTTGCTGTTAAACATTCATGCAAAAAAATCTATATAAAGGTTGAAAACTATCTGAACTTCCACCTAAAACATGGTGTTGGCAGCATTGTGCTGTGGGAGTTGCCTTTTTTAATCTCCATTTCTTTCTCATTAGCTTCCAGACATCTTTTGCAAATTTTCCAACGGACTCGTATTAATTTTAAGGAAATATTTTCTGCCCCTAAAATCACATCCACATTCAATTGTATTCACTGTAATTAAAATGTTGTTTGTTAGAAAATGAGGAATCTCTTCACTCACTGTCCTGAGGTTTTATTTCACACTTAACCTTTTAACATTTTATAATATTTCGACCTCAAACTCCAGTGTATTTGTTTTTATGTTAGACCTACACAAACTGGTGCACAAAGTGGAAGAATGGTTTGGGAAATGTTTTCACAAATTCAAAGTTGGGAACAAAACAAAGATAAAAAGTGTGCACATTTAAATAAAACCCACTTCAACCAAATCTCTCTCTCTACCACAAAACTGTCAGTAGCATGATGCTGTTCAGAAGCTTTTCTTTGGTGGGAAAAACTAAGTTGCTCAGAGATGATGGGGAAACTGGGTGAAGCTAAATGCAGGGTTGATCTTCCAGAAACAAAATCCCAAACATAAAGCAAAAAACTACTTTTCTCAAACCAACCTGACTGAGCTTGAGGCTATTTTGCAAAAAAAGAACAAGTACTGTATTTTCCATACTATAAGGCGAACCTAAAAACCTTCAATTTCCTCAAAAGCCGACAGTGCGCCTTATAATCCGGTGCGCCGGACCAATATTGAGCCACAACAGGTCTAGCAACTACGGCAAGCAGCCGCTGACTTCATTTTCGCCCGTAGAAGAAGCAGCGCGCAGATAGTTGTCAGAACGCTGGTTTGTTTATAAAGTTTGACTGACCTATCTACCTACCGAACATCTATAATCAGGTCGTCTGCAGGTCATTTAGCACCACGTTCTCGACCAACATGCTGTGCGCGAACAGAGAAGGGTGACCATCGTCCAGCCACGCCCCGGCCCAGTCGCGTAAGGCTCTCCTTGCCGACCGGAGTCGCTTTAGACATTCATCCGGGGTGCTTCAACTACAGTTACCAAAGGACCAGCTCCTATTCATTTAAAGCCGGGGGGTGGGGGAAAGAGAGACAGAGCAGCGTGTCAGTTAGTCTGTGTTACCCAGGAAGTGGTTGGGCTCAATATCTCAACACCAACACCGTGAGTGAAACAATGACTGGGGCAGCTTACTATATAAAGTACTTGGGGATCACTTCTTTATTATTATACATCCACATTTGTAGAGTACGGAACAAATCGGTACTTTAAGCGACGGGTGCAACCCTAACTGTGGCGTCCATTTATGCGCCTTATACTGTATATGAAAAAAGTTTTAAAATAGGCCATTCATTTAAGGTGCGCCTTATAGTGCGGAAAATACGGTAATTAAAATCAAACCTAAAGGTGTGTTTATGGACTTTCGTCTCAACTCTGACGCTTTTCAAGTCAAAATTAAAGCAAAAGCTTTAAGAATTAGATATCTACAATATTTTCAAACTGTTTAAATCAATATAACTTTATTTCAGGTTATACTTGAAAGCAGTTCTGACATCTCAGATTTGCTGTATTTTAAATAGCTGTTGCAAGACGAACCAATTTCTAACTATTGTATGCAGTTTAGTTAGACATGTTAGGTATGAGCAGGTTCAACAGTAGATACTTTCCAGTAGCTGTTTCCTTGCAGTTTTATCTCAACACTGGGCTAATTCAAAAAAGTACTGCAAGTATTTAAATATATAGCAACAAATATATTCAAATATCCAACAAAGATTGAGTGCTTCTGTTGAACTGATCTTATTGGGAGAGTTAACAGAAGTTGGTACTGAAACTGCTTTGGCTGGATATTTTTTTTTTTAGGAATCTTTCCTTACCTGCAGTCATCTGCCATTATCATCCAGGCTGAGCTCATCATGATGCCAGGCTGACCACTGCTTCCTTTTGTTCATCTCCAATGTACTGGAAGTATTGATTTGACCTCTCCTGGTGTTCCTGCCATTTGCTCTGGTTGTTTCCGCTGCCACAGAGCGGTCCAGGTTAGCTGGCGGTGGGAACTCCTCTGTGCTAATGGCTAACTTGAATCAAACTCCAGACATTTCTGATAAAATAAAAAATATAAATAAGGCATCGAATGAAACACAGTTTAGTCAATATTTAAAAGGACAAATGTTACTTTAGAATCTCATCAAAAATGTTGCCACATAATCAGAATTAAAAAATACTTTTGTGATCCCTAAAGGTAAATTATATGTTGTAATTCATATTATTCAAGGTTCTGCAGAGTAGATGCTGACCTCCTGTAGCAGTCTGTATTACAGTGAATCTGAAGAAGCTCTGTTTTTCCTATGACACTCATAAACATAACGCTCAGGGTTGTTTGTAATTTTACTGTTTTATGTAAAGTGACAGATTTGCAAAGTCTAGAATTGCACAGAAAACCCATAAATTGTGAAATCTGCAAACTGAAACAGCATTTTTTTTTCTTAAAAATTATTCCTGCATGTCTGATTCTCTTTGAATAAAGCACTTTGATTTCTAAAAAGTCATAACATTGAAGCAAATGTCCTTCAAAAGAGCCCATATCTAACATGTTCACATCTTTTCACATGATCAATACAAACTTAAATGCATTTTATTGCAGTTTTATCTGATTGACCAACATAAAATTGCACATAGCTCTAAAGTATATGGAAAATTATAGTTTTGATCATTCTTACATTAAAAAAGTCCTGAAAACCAGAGTGCTTACATGCAGTCATCACCTTCAATCAACACAATGACCTACTTAAGTAATAGGACAGGTAGTAGTTTTATAAATACACAAACATTTCTCCATTTCTAGAAAAAAACAAATGGTAAATTCCATGTTTTTCCAGAGTTTTCAGACAGTGTTCGAAGTCATCGTTACAACAAACCATATTCATGTGTCAGAATGGCTCCATTTGTGATGAGAATTTGTGACGAGCCTTAAAAATAAATTTACAAAACAGATGCTTACCATGTAGTCGGACTGAGCTGAAGGCATTTTTTTGTTTTTTAAATGAGTGGGCAATGGACTCCGTCACCAGACTAATTTCTGTTAATGTCCTTCCAATTTACAACTGTGCCCCACTTCGTCTTACTCCGTCACATAAAATGTAGAGAAACTCCGCTAAAGTTTGTGGCTGTAAGCATGACGAGACGCAAGAAAAGCTGAAGCGGTGTGAAAACTTTTCGCGAGCGCAGCCAAGCAAACGTCAAGACAGCGGCACACTTTGTGCATGAACTTGCGTGGCTGCTCATGCCTCATACTGACAGCGGCCCTGTGTGGGAGCATGACACTTTCCTCCCCTGAACTCTGGCGACGCCTCTGCCAAAGGTGGGCTGGATTATACATCCAGAACCGCGTCACACACAAACACACACACATCTGGAAACCACAGGCTTCCACAACACTGCAGCTCTCCACCTGGATGTTATTGGCGCCTGCCGCACCCTAATGAGCCCACCTCAGCTCAGTCAAAGTCATCTGATGACACTGATGTGGGGAGATTGATATTCACGCTTGACTCGCCGTCCTCTCCGCTCAACTGCGATGTTTACCTCCCCACACAATTAGTATCTGTTGAAGACAGACGAGAGAGGGATGGAGACATGCTCCTCTGTTGCTGCTGTTTGTGCGACCACATTAGCTCCAATTGTTTATGAAGATGGGAGATGTCTTTTAACGTGTCTTGAAGGTGGCTTTCCATATCACAGGGGCCCCCCACCCATTACTGGCTCATTTAATCCTCATAAAGCGGGTTTACCTCTCTGAATGTCAGAAGCAGCAAATGACTAAAGCTGCGTCGGGCTTAAGTAAAATGCATATTTCAACAGATAGCTGCAGAATTTGCATCAGAGGCAAACCCGGCTTTGGCTTGTGAGGTTGCGCATCATCGATGGTGGTGAGGGGGCTTGTGGAGTTAACTCCAGGAGCGAGGCCCTGCAGGTTCAAAGCCTGCCCACACAGCAGCACCGTATACACTCCTGTTAACTTTCACCTGATCATTAGCATATAAACACTTAAAGCAGTTACAGAGGACAGCTGTGTGCTCACTCTGTGAAGGAGGAGATGGCCAGCCTCTGGCATAAACAAGGTTTTGGCTGGTGTGAAGGAGGACCACAACCAAAACCAGAAAGCTGTGTCTTCCAACTTGATATAGCAACAATTCGCATTCTTCCCAATTTGACTCTTTGCCGTTTCAGTACAGTTTATATGCTGATTTTTAATTCCCCAATTGTAAGAAGAAGAAAAAAAGTGGCTCTGGCTGAAAAGAGCAGGTGGACATGCAGGTCTGCTGGGTTTGTGAACGATGCGGGAAGCATTTTTTTTATGTAGAACCACAGCGACCCTCTCAGGACAGGACCGTAATTGCAGCCTCTTCTGTTCGAAGAGATAAGCTAATGGCAAATATGTCTTTGTTAGCCAAAACAATAAGAACCTCGCGCAGTTTCTAAATTCAAACTTCACAATTATGATTCATTGCAGTCCAGATAACACATTTATTCAACTTTACCTGTTTTCTATACGTCTTTATGAAGGTTTGTTTCTATGTTTTTCAAATGTTGATACAAAATGTTGGGTTTTAGCTAACATTTGCGCTAGAAAAGCTTTTTTCCTCGGTCAAAATTCACATATCTTAATTATAAGTGCATAAGCTAACAAAAAAATTAACCAACACAGCTTAAATTTAAATGAGTTCACAATTAGCTACCTGTTGGTTTCTTGCTGCTCTAAATAGACTCCTTCTTATTGTCGGTGCGTCTCTGTTCCAGCACACCTGACACAGGTGATTGTTTGTCCTCTGGCTTGCCGTAGGGTGCTCGTTAATCAGCCATTCATTTAAATCAGGTGTGCAGCAGCAGATTTTTCAATATATTAAAATAACATGAAACTGAGAATATTTCCAGGTCGTTTTTTAAGTTTCTAAAAATTGGTCTGAATTGGTAATTACTAGCAATTGAGCTATGAAAAAGTTGCATTTTTCATTTGTTACTTTGTAAAAAAAAAAAAAAAAAAAAAAAAAAAAAAACATTAATTTTGCCAGCCATGATCGGCGTTTTCTGTCGAAATTCCACTCTAAATATCCAAATAAAAGATGTTTTTAAAAGTATAAGCCAGTTTCTGGGAAGATAAAATGACTGTAAACATAATTTTGTTAGCTATAACAGAAAAAAGTTGATAAACTCCCCCCCCCACCACCCAAACTTAACTCAATTTTGTTGTGTATACAAGTGTAACATTAAATTATGGCATCTATTATTAATCACCCCAAAGCCCCAGAAGTTTTTAGTCTATTTTTTAGCATAATGACTCATTTTCAACCAGAGATGAGAACAATTGATCAAGGACGGTGATATTCCAGCACAAAATCTCTTGAAAGTCCTCAGACACATTGTAATACCTTAGATATGAGACTAAATTCAAAAGCACAGTCATCCATGACAGTAAAAAAAAAGGATAATTTAACTTTCTAGAGTTCTATTACAAAAGGAAAAAGGTTATAAACAAAGACTCCAGCAGCTCCTTTATTAATTGAAGGTCTAAGCTGAATTAATGTTTCCAAAACAAAATAGTGTGTTTTGAGACTTCTTTTTTTTTCTTATCCAAGCACAGTTAAGTCATGTTTTTTGGCTCAATTTGCACTGGGAAATATTCCTTTTTTGCTCAAAATACTCAAAAACGTGAAACATGTGTTTTTACATTACAATGTGACTTAACAGAAACTTTAACAAAATTCAGACTTTATAGTTCAGTTTCATTGCGTTCCAGAACAAATTTAACTTTCCTTGATTTTTGTGTCTTAATAGCCAACTTGCAATTTTGACTTCCTGGAACTGTAAAGCAAACTTTTCATGTATTTAAATCAAACAGATTTAATCTGGTAGATCAAATCTACCATTTTTTTTAACATATCCCACATTTGTGTAACTGCTTTCTTTGCATACACTTATTGAACTTGGGTAACTTATTCTTCTCGGAGGGTTGTCGAAGTTATAATAAACTTGCCAACAGCTGCACTATAAAAACAGAAGTCATGCATTTATTTCAAATATTTTCACTCTTATCCAAGTTTTATGTATTGTGCGACAACTGGGATTTAAATTTAGCCTTCAGCGTTTTTGCATTTCAGCTAAGAATGTAAAATATTAACGCATAATTACATTTTTTTATCATTCCTACATCAGTTACAAATCTATTTAGTTTGTCAGAAGAGACATAAAATAAGCTTTTGATTTCTTAATATCAGAAACACAAATGCAGCCTTGAGTGTTTACTTTTAAGCAAAACGCAAAGTATCAACCGTACTGAAATGGACATTAAAAATCACTTTCACTTTGTTTATTTTGTATTTTTATTGTTCTTTTGCTACAAAAAAAGTCCCAGCAATATTCTGTATGCCCCGCCCATTAAAAATAACACTACAGTAAAGTACAAAATGAAGTATATCAAAACTACCCGGTGCTACCCAGAAAAAAATAGACAATCATATAAAAAGAAAAAAAAACAGAAGGAAGAAATGTCCCAAGTCTACAGCTACAAAAGTTAGAAAAGGGTTACGTTAAAAAAGGCAGATATTCACCACAGAATGTGTCACTTCACAATCACTCTGCATGTCTTTCTTCACATATAAAGTAATGCAAATACTTTACAATAAGTTAACAGAGGCACATCCTTTTACAATAGCAAAGCAACCGTCAAAATTTTTACCTTAAAGAAAAAGAAAGGAACAAAAAAAGAAAACACACACAGTTGACTTTTTTTTTCTTTTTTTGGCAACAATTTCTCTGAAAAAGAAAAAAAAATGAAAAATCCCACGACAAAAAAAAAAAAATCATCTGGGTAGCAACATTTTTGGTTTCTTTAGAACAAAATGTTCCGTGTTTACGACAGACTATGAGCTTTAGTCGCACACCGAGAGTCCCAAAGTGGTGCAATCCGATGCAAAATAATTTGTGAAATACGCATTTGTGTCCACAGATATGTTTCAGACCATAAAACATAAACGTATCACGGATCAGTTCATCGTGGGATTGAATTAATCTCATGAAACGGGCCTCGACGTTGACGGATCAAATCCATTTATGATGTGCCGCGACAAGAAATTGATTTATCTATTGAAAAGTCATTTCTGCAGTTTCAGAATGACTTTTAATCACTGAAATATTAACATATCAAAGTGTATGCTTCGTTTGTTTTCGTTTGTCTGTCCAATGCTTATTTAACAACTTATTTACGTACTGAATTGAGCTTTTGGCCCCCCAACAGAGACAAACATACAGCATACAATGTATTCAAATATAAATACTGTATTTATATGAACAAAAATATACCAAAATTATTTTCATACAAAAAAATAAAATAAAATGGAAGTTTACAATATAATAACTTAGACAAAAACAAGGCTTTTAGAGTTTTTTGTTCTTTTTCTTTTTTAAACAAGACACTTGAGCCCTAACTTTCTATTATTTTCGATCATTCAAGCAAAACTTAATACTAAAAAAAGAAGAAAGAAAAAAACAACTGTACAGTACCAATGGCATGTTCAACAAATAAAAAATAAGTTAGTGTCAGGCAACTGTACAGGTTATTTACAGTTTAAATACAAAAGAAAGCAACAGACTTAAAAACTGTGGGAATGACGTAAGCTTAATAGGTTTTTATTCAAATTAACGGGATTCTGTAAGGCAACCAAAACAAACCACATCAGCTGTTCACAACAACAACGACAAAAAAAAAAAAATGGCAGTGGAGGTGTTTGGATTGAGAGTGGAGGAGGGTGGGGAGAAAAACGCCTCCACCTTGGCACAGTCACGAGGCTGAAAGAAAGGGCGGAGAGGAGGGTGAGGAAAGACGGACACATTCATTTCTGACACCACCTGTTACAGCAGGTGCCCAGTAAACATCGAAGTCTCCCGCAGAGACAGAAGGAGGGGAATGAGGAGTGAGTGTGTGTGTGGGTTTGTGGGGAGGAGCTTTTTTGTTTTTTGGTTAGTGGTCTTGTTCCTCAGTCGACGTCGCTGAGGTCGCTGACTTGCTCGTCCTGCACCAGGCTCAGGTGGTTCATGGCGCGGCTGAAGGCGATCTGGACCGCCTTGCGGATGCTGGACGTCCGGCCTTCCATCAGCTTGATCTTGTCGATGGTTTTGTCAATGCCAAGAGGAACCATCTTGGACCTGGGAAGCCACTGCCTGGAGATCCCAATGCTCACAATTATTGTTTTTTCTCCCCCCCACCAAATCACATTTGCAGTAATGATTGAGGGTCTAAGAATATTCAGAGACTTTCTGTTTCAGTACGGTGTAAATCAGGAGAGTTCAAAAGTTTTGCCATGTTGCGCAAACATACTCAGGCCATGAAGAGGAAGAAAAAAAAATCTCAAAACAAAGCAAAGCTTTTTGTTTGATCCAAAATGTAAAAATAGATTTTGCACGTTTGCTGTATTAAAAGAAAGTAATCAAGTTTTCAAATTCTCCTTGGTTACGTTGAACAGATTTATTCTCTTATAAAAACAGGGTTTTGGTCAATTTCTTTCAAAATCTTTGCTGTATTTAGCCAAATGTAATAAATTAAATAAATGCTGGTTTGGGTGCAGAAATCTTGCTTACAATTTTCCAACTGAACATTTACCTTAGCCACTGTGGGAAACAGCCAACATGCTATTTAAAGAATAGTAGATTTGTGTTGATCTTTCTGTCACGATTCATAGAAATTAATCCATCAGTGGTATCTAGGGGTTTCCATAGCAACAATTAAATGCTAGCTGCATCCCAACTGGTTGTTTGGGAGTAATGCTAGAAAGTAAAATAAAAAGTTCTAGAAAGCTTTGGCAACTAAATAAATAAATAAATAAATAAATAAATAAATAAATAAGATTGTTAAAAATAGAAATGGAAAAACTGAATATAGATAGGTTAATAGGTTGCATTTTCCTCAATTTTTTCCAGCAGAAGACAAATTTACTCTGAAGGCGTTCTACACAACCTCCACCGGTGCTCGGCGGTAATTGTGGCGCGTGCTGCACGTCTGAAATTGCCCGGCATCCTTTCGCAATATTTTAATGGGAGTCGAGGTGAAAATATCAAGTGCCTCTCGAGGCGAGAGCCATTTGTTTTCTCCTGACAACTGATGCTCCGCAGCCAGAGGAGAATAATGATCAGCTGACGGCGAGGTTGACAGGTTTACCCTTGTAGGAGCCGACGTCGGCCTAAATCACTCAGACGAACAGGGCGGCACTCACCAGCTGCGCTTGTTGTCGAAGAAGAGGACGAGGTGGAGCTTCTCCTCTGCCTTGTACTGCATCTGCTCTCCGATTCGGAGCACGTCCATGGGGGGGATGGGGATGGACACCCCGTTGTGTTGGCAGCCGACGCGTGGCATGTGGGGGTCGATGATCTGCCACGCAGCAGATGCAGTGGAGGGCAGGGGTGGGGGGCAGAGATTGGGAGACAGAGCCGAAACTGTTAACACAAACAATCCTATGCACACTGCTAGCTTAAACCAGTGGGGTTCCTTGTTGATTTTGTATGATTGTCACTTGTTAATAAAGCTTACATTAAAAAAAAAACAAAAAAAACAATTGGATTTCTTTCAAGGCAAACGTCAAATAGTTGATCTAGAGTGCCATCTAGTGGACAAACAGTCTCAATTTCTTCCAACTTCAGGAAGACGGTTACAATTTGGCTTCAGTGAGTCCTGAAAGTGAAGGTGACATTTAAACAGGATAATAGCAATAAAAAAAATAAAACTCACCAAAGCAGGGTAGGAAGGGTAGCCGCTGCATTTGGCCCAGACTAGCTTC